TTTAAATAAAATAAAAATTTAAATCATATATGGTTGTTGCTTAGCTTACAATTTTTTTCAATAGTATTTAAGTGAAGAGTATTTACAAAAACAAAAGAAAATAAAAAAATAAAACATATAAAAACACATAAAATACTATTATATAATCATTGATTGAAAACAAAAAAAAAAAATAAAACATGGCAGATAGTATTTTTGTCATCATCAGTTGTTATATTAAACGTAAAAAAATAAGAAGAAGAAGCATATTTATCAAAAATCTAAATATTAAAAATCAACACCAATTGGTTGTTAGTTTAGTAAAAAAAAATCGTATAAATTAAAAAAAAATGTTATAGTTATTATTTTATAATTTCTTTTTAGATATGAAAATATTTTATAATATTTTTCTTTTGTATTGTACTTTTTAATTTTGATTTTTTTTACAAAATAAATAAAAAAATCTTAAAATTTAATTTTCCCCATTTGATGAGCAGTGAGCATATGTCAATTAGAAAGATGTAAACGAAGTAGTTTTATTATTTTTTAGAAATTTATTTTAATTGAACTATATATTTTTTGTGGATTTTTTTTTAATTTTTTTATATTTTTGAAATTTTTAATCATTTTTTTAAATTACCAACAATAAAAATATTTTTCCTTGGTTCCAAAATAGGCATGATTTTTTGCAAATTGTTTTTCATGGTCCCAAAAAAACTATTTAAAAGCCTACCCTTATGCATGGATTTTTATACCCTCCACAATAGTATGGAGGGTATATTAATTTTGTCATTCCGTTTGTAACTCTTTATAGGGTCATATCCGACCCTATAAAGTATAAATATTCTTGATCAGGGAAAATTTCATTGTCCCAAAAAAATATTTAAAAGCCTACCCTTATGCGGGGATTTTTATACCCTCTACCATAGTATGGAGGGTATATTAATTTTGTCATTCCGTTTGTAACACATCGAAAAATTAATTTCCGACCATATAAAGTATATATATTCTTGATTAGGGTAAAATTCTAAGACGATCTAGCCATGTCCATCCGTCGTTGTAATCACACTATATTCTGAAGCAATTGAGATAGATTTCCAAAATTTTGCATAGAGTCGTCTTTTGTCTGCAGGCAGGTTAATTTTGAAGATGAGCTATATCGGCCCACGTTTAGGCATAGACCCCATATAAGACTACCGCCCAATCTTCGATATTTTGGGGTTCTTGAGTGCGTTTTTCAACCGAATTCGCTGAAATTTGGTACATTGGATTATTTTTGGGTATCAAATATCTCCACTAAAAATTATAAATATCGGTCCACTTTTTCTGGTAGCCCCCTTTTAACGGTACACCAAATTTACCGTATTTTGGGGGGAGGGGTTGGTTTTAAGCGCGCTTTAACCCGAATTCGCTGAAATTTGGTACATTGGGTTCTTTTTGGATACCAAGTATCTTCACTAAAAATTAAAAATATCGGTCTACCTTTTCTGGTAGCCCCCTTATAACAGAACGCCCAATTTACCGTATTTGGGGAGGGGGTGTGTTTTAAGCGCGTTTTGAAACCCAATTCGCTAAAATTTGGTACAATGGGTTCATATTAAGTACCAAACTTCTCCACTAAAAATTATAAATATAGGTCAATTTTTTTCGGTTAGGCCCCATATAATTGCACCCCCAATTTTCGATATTTTGGGGTTCTTGTGTGCGTTTTTCAACCGAATTCGCTAAAATTTGGTACATTGGGTTTTTTTTTGGGTATTAAATATCTCCACTAAAAATTATAAATATTGGTCCACGTTTCTTGGTAGACCCCTTTAACAGTGCCCCCAATTTATGGTTTTTAATCCGATTTCGCTAAAATTTGGTACAATGGGTTCTTATTGAGTACCAAACTTATTCACTAAAATTTATAACTATAGGTCAATTTTTTCGGGTAGCTCCCATATAAGGGCACCTCTAATCATCGTATTTTTGAGGTTATTGAGCGCGTTTTTCAACCGAATTCGCTGAAATTTGGTATTTTGTAGTCGAATATGGTAACAAATCTCCCTACCAAAAACTATTAATATTCGCCTCCTTTTTGGGGTAGTCCCCATATAACCACCTTTTTATACCCTTCACCACACTGTGGTACAGGGTATTATGTATTTGTGCATATGTTTGTAACAGGCAAAAGGAAACGAGATAGACACATGGTGCCTTTTGAGAATATGCATTGAGTCGATTGAGTCGATTTATGCATGTCCGTCTGTCCATGTTAAATTGTAAACAAAGTACAGGTCGCATTTATGATCCGAATTTGATGAAATTTCTTATAGGTCATTTATTTGGCCCACGGACGAACCCTATTGAAATTAAAGAAAATTGGTTCAGATTAAGATATAGCTCCTATATATACTTTGGTCCGATTTAAGGTAAATGGGGCACCAAAGTTCCTATATAACTTTCGATTTGCACGAAATTTGTCATAGCGTACTGAATTGAGACTAGAATGATGTGTGTAAAATTTCTTGAAAATGGGTTCAGATTTAGATATACTCCCATATATATATATATGTGTCCGATTTAAGGTAAATGGTGCACCAAAGTCCCTATATATCCTTCGAATTGCATGAAATTTAGCACAGCGTTCTGAATTAAGTCAAAAATGATGTGTGTTAAATTTCGTGAAAATCGGTTCAGATTTAGATATAGCTCCCATATATATTTTCGTCCGATTTGCATGAAATTTGGCAAAGGGTTCTGAATTAGGTCCAGTATGATGTGTGCTAAGTTTCGTGAATATCGGTTGAGATTTAGATATAGCTCCCATATATATGTACGACCGATTTAATGTAAATGGTGCACCAAAGTCCCTATATATCTTTCAATTTGCACGAAATTTGGCATAGCGTACTGTATTGAGTCAAGAATGATGTGTGCAAAGTTTCGAGAAAATCGGTTCAGATTTTAATATAGCTGTAATATATATTTTCTTTCGATTTTAGGTAAATAGTGCACCAAAGTCCCTAAATATCTTTTGATTTGCACAAAATTTGGCATAGAGTACTGAATTAGGTCCAGAATGATGTATGCTAAGTTTCGTGAAATTTGGTTCAGATTTAGATATAGCTCCCATATATATTTCCGCCCGATTTAATGTAAATTGTGTACCAAAGTCCCTAGATATCTTCCGATTTGGTCGAAATTTGTCATAGCGTATTGAATTGGGTCCAGAATGATGTGTGCTAAGTTTCGTGAATATCGGTTCAGATTAAGATATGGCTCCCATATATAGTTTCGTCCGATTTAATGTAAATGGTGCAGCAAAGTCCCTAAATATCTTTCGATTTGCACGAAATTTGGCATAGAGTACTGAACTAGGTCCAAAATGATGTGTGTAAAAATTTTTGAAAATCGGTTCTGATTTAGATATAGCTCCATATATATTTTCGTCCGATTTAAGATAAATGGTGCACCAAAGTCAGTATATATCTTTCGATTTGCACAAAATTGCGCACAGCATACTGAATTAAGTCCAGAATGATGTGTGCAAAGTTTCATGAAAATCGCTTCAGATTTAGATATAGCTCCCATATATATTTTCGTCCGATTTAATGTAAACGGCCCACCAAAGTCCCTACATACCTTTCGATTTCCACGAAATTTGGCACAGCGTAATGAATTAGCTCTAGAACTGAAATTAACTTTCCTGAAAATCGGTTCAGATTTAGATATAGCTCTCATATTTATTTTCGTCTGATTTAATGTAAATGGGGTACCAAAGTCCTTATATATCTTCCGATTTGGTCGAAATTTGGCATAGCGTACTGAATTGAGTCTAGAATGATGTGTGATAAGTTTCGTGAAAATCGGTCCAGATTTAGATATAGCTCACATATATATTTTCGTCCGATTTAATGTAAATTACTGATCCTTCAAAAATGCGACGTCTGTTAGGATTCATCTGTTGAATATACCCAAAGTAGTGAAGGGTATCATATAGTCGGCCCCGTCCGACTTTACTACTTTCCTTACTGGGTTTTTTAAATATTTTTTTTATCTTAAATATTTTTTTAATACTTTTGTTATTTTAAAAAATATTTTTTTAATATTTTTCTTTTTTTTATAATATTTTCTATTTTAGTTATTAAAATAATTTAATTTTTTTATTATTTTAATTTCTTTATAAAAAAATTAGTAGTTCCTCTATTTAATTTTTGTATCGATCTATTTAATCAAATTCCATCCTGTATTAAATACTAGAATTTAATTATTTGCCAAAACTATAAAAAAGTTATCTCTACAAGGAAAATGTTGTTAAATTAATGTAGTAAATAAGGCGTAAATAAATTTGTTATAAAATTAGATTTGTTAAAAAATATATATAAGTTATTATTTTTTTATTTCCATTAAAGCTATAAAATATTTTTTTTATTTTTTTTTTAATTTTCATTTTTTTAAAATTTTAAAAAAAAAAAATATTATTTAAAAACTATAAAACAAAAGAAATAATTTGAAATAAAGAGAGAGAAAAAAATTCTTTGAATAAAAACGCTTGTAAGTTTTGATTAATTTTTTTGGGTACACAACAAAAACAAAAAGAAAAGTTGGTATATTTTTATAAAAAAATAAATAAATTAAAATATTTTTTTTTAAATTAAGTCACAAAAAAATTATAAAAAAATAATTAAATTTTAAGAAAATAGTGATGGTCTCAAATAACCAAGAAATACAAATATTGTAAAAAAAGTGTTAACAATTAAGCGTTTTTTCTTAAGGAAAACCAAAAAACAAGCGTTTTTATAAACAAAGAATTTTTTGTTGTAATATATTTTTTTAAATTAGTTTGAAATAATAATGTTAAATTAAAAAATATTAAAAAAAAAATAATATTTATATATTTCAAAAAAAGAAATTGGTATGAGCCCATCACAATTTTCTTTAACGAAAATTAGCAAAAAAAAATCCAAAAAATTGTGACTTAATTTTTAATTTAAAAAAATTAAAAAAAAAATAATAAAATATATTTTCTCTTACAGAACTCCCGTCTCACCCCGCAAGTATCGGAGCAAATTGAAAAACTCATAGATGAAAAATGTCGCATCCTCAATAAAACGGGCACTTCAAAATCGAGTGCCCTCCATTTGGCCAATTGGATGAAAGGCCAATTGGATAAACAACAGGAACAGGCACGTTTGGTAGTATCCCGGTTTATACCCGAAAATCAATTAGACACAAATACAGACACAGAAGATGCTAATCAACAGGAGTCATGTGATGAACGGATAACCTATTGGACACGACAACAATTGGAAAAACGTACTCAAGAGCTAAATTTGGCCAAAGAAAATGGCCATCTATCGGCAAGACCAAATTTCGGGGGTAAACGTTTGAGTGGTGTGGATGAGTTGAGTATGAGTGATGTGTCACATTCAGAAGCGGTTAGCCAGATTAGTCAATCGCATAGTACAACATCGGATAGTCAGGTGAATATTTGAAAATGATTTTTTTCTTTTTTTCAATTAATTTGTGGATTTTTAGCTAGGTGTTATTGTTGTTGCTTTTTGGAACAATCATTGTTAATAAAAATATTTTCAAGGCCTACTGAAGAGGTGACACATGGTTCCTTTTGAGAATATGCATAGAATCACTTTTTATGTCGATATATGCATGTCCGTCCGTCTGTCTGCCCATGTTAAGTTGTAAACAAAGTACAGGTCGCATTTATAATCTGAATTGGATTAAATTTGGCAGAGTTCATTCATTTGGCCCAAGGACAAACCCTATTGAAATTGGGAAAAATCAGTACAGATTTAGATATAGCTCCCATATATAATTTCGTCCGACTTTTAGTAAATGGTGCACGAAATTACCTATATAGCTTTCGATTTGCACGAAGTTTGGCATAGCGTACTGAATTAATTCTAGAAATATGTGTGTCAAGTTTCCTGGAAATCGGTTCAGATTTAGATATAGCTCCCATATATATTTTCCTTCGATTTAAGGTAAATGGTGCACCAAAGTCCCTATATATCCTTCGATTTGCACGAAATTTGGCATACTGTACTGAATTAAGCCTAGAATGATGTGTGTTAAATTTCGTGAAAATCGGTTCAGATTTAGATATAGCTCCCATATATATTTTCGTCCGATTTTAGGTAAATAGCGCACCAAAGTCCCTATATATCCTTTGATTTGCACGAAATTTGGCATATCGTACTGAATTAGGTCTAGAATGTCTTGTGCCAAATTTCGAGAAAATCGGTTCAAATTTAGATATAACTCCCATATATATTTTCGTCCGATTTTAGGTAATTGGTGAACCAACGTCTCTGAAAATCATACGATTTGCACGAAATTTGGCATATTGTACTGAATCAAGTCTAGAATGATGTGTGCAATGTTTCGTGAAAATCGGTTCAGATTTAAATATAGCTCCCGTATATATTTTCATCCGATTTAAGGTAATTGGTGCACAAAAGGCCCTATATAAATTTCGATTTAGACGAAATTTGGCACAGGATACTGAAGTGAATCTAGAATGAAGTGTGCAAAATTTCGTGAAAATCGGTTCAGATTTAGATATAGCTCCCATATATATTTTCCTCCGATTTTAGGTAAATAGTGCACCAAAGTCCCCATATATCCTTCGATTTGCACGAAATTTGGCATATCGTACTGAATTAAGCCTAGGATGATGTGTGTTTAATTTCGTGAAAATCGGTTCAGATTTAGATATAGCTCCCCTATATAGTTTTGTCTGATTTAAGGTAAATGGGGCACCAAAATTCCTATATATATTTCGATTTGCACGAAATTTGGTATAGGATACTGAATTGAGACTGGAACGATGTGTGTTCGGAATTTAGATACAGCTCCCATATACATTTTCGTCCTATTTAAGGCAAACGGGGCACCAAAGTCCCTATATATCCTTCGATTTGCACGAAATTTGGCATAGCGTACTGAATTAAGTCTAGAACGATGTGTGTTAAATTTCGTGAAAATCGGTTCAGATTTAGATATAGCTCCCATATATATTTTCGTCCGATTTTAGGTAAGTGGTGCACCAAAATCCTAATATTGGTCCGAATGAAATAAAATTTAACACAGAGTACTGAAATAGGTCCAGATTGATGTGTGCAATGTTTTGTTGGTATCGGTTCAGATTAACATATAGCTCCCATATATATTTTCGTCCGATTTTAAATAAATAGTGCACCAAAGTCCCTATATATCTTTCGATTTGCACGAAATTTGGCATAGAGTACTGAATTGGGTCTAGAATGTCTTGTGTCAAGTTTCGAGAAAATCGGGTCAGATTTATATATAGCTCCCATATATATTTTCGTCCGATTTAAGGCAAACGAGGCACCAAAGTCCCTATATACCCTTCGATTTGCACGAAATTTGGCATAGCGTACTGAATTAAGTCTGGAACGATTTGTGTAAAATTTCGTAAAAATCGGTTCAAATTTAAATATAGCTCCCATATATATTTTCGTCCGATATAAGGTCAATGGTGCTCCAAAGCGTACTGAATCAACTCTAGAATTATGTGTGCTAAGTTTCGTGAAAATCGGTTCAGATTTAGATATGGCTCCCATATATATTTTTGTCCGATCTTTTATTTTTCGTATGCCTACTTTTAGGAGGCTTACTTTAAAAATTAAAATTTCCAAGCCTGCTTTTAGGATATTTTTTTTCGAGGCCTACTTTTAGGAGAGGATTTTTAAAAATTAAATTTTCAAAGCTTAAATTAAGGAGTGGGTTTTTAAAAATTGATTTTTCAAAGCCTACCTTTAGGCGTGGATTTTTTTACTTTTCAAGGCCTAATTGTAGGCGTGGATTTTGTAGGGATCTAATATTTGAAGTTATTACTATTATTGCTATGTTCCCCATTCATCCCACTCTCATTTAAACATTTTCTCTCTTCATTTAGATTACGGTTCGTTCAAGTCCCATTATTTTAGACAAATTAGCCGTGTGTCGTCATTGTCATAAAAATTGTCAAAAAACTCCCAAAAATGCCTTAGACCATCATTCAAACACTGAATCGCATCATGATCATCATCAGCAGGAACAGCAGACGGAAGAAAACCGCGACAAAGATCCTGCCGAGGCTAGAGAACAAACATCGAACATGCCACCCCCTAACAGTTGTCCCCTTTCACCCAATTCCCTGCAAAAATCCTCCTTAGTTTGTAATTCCCTTAAAGTCCAACATAGCCAATCATCGCCACATCGTTGTTGTAAATTAAATGGTAATGGCGGAACAACGACCACGAGTAGTGTTGCCAGTCGGGCGAGTAGTGTAACGAGCATATCATCGGGTGGGGGTACGGTGACGGGAGAGAAACCCGGAACGAAGCATCACAATCATGAGCCTCATCCCAGTAGTCGCAGTAGTAATCGCGACGATACGGAAAGTGATGTCGCCCAGCTGCTAACCGATGATAATTATTGTCCCTCAGAGACCGCAATGGACGAGGGCGACACTGGGTTTGCCGGCCCACCTGCAACGGCTGGCGAGCATAAAACGGCCCATAACAATCACAACGAAGCCACCAGCAGTTCTACGACCAGTTCAGCCACCAGTTCCACCACCAGCACCACCAGTATTAGCAGTACCCAATTGGAGGCGAATGCCACAACCTCCACAAATCAGGACACCACCACCGACAGTGAGATCAACGGAATCGCCGGTGGCCAGCAACTCACCGGAAGGATCCATCATTTACGAATTTTAGAGGAGGAGGAAAATAATGAGGTGGGGGTAGGTTTAATGACAAATGGTCATTGTGAGGGAGAGGAAAGGGAGGGGGAGATTTCAGCCAAGCCTCAGCCACCACCCAGAAAATTTGTAAATAATTGCCAGCAGCAGGAGGAAGAGAAGGTTCCGAAAGTGGTGAAAATCAACGAAAGCCCTGAGAAGTGTCCACGCTCCCCCAAAACCCCAACGAAATCGCCAAAAACCCCCTCCACACCCAAATCGGATAGATCCGCCAGTAGTTCGACAAAATCCAAACAATTTGTGGCCTGCAATTGTAATTGCAGACCTGAGGACTTCGCCAATACCACTCTAAGTCCCGAGGAGGTGGAGCTGAAGACCTGTAAATTATTGGAATCCCCCAAACAATCTCCCAAAATGCCAAAGACCCAGGAGACAACCTCTGAAGACATTTCCGAAGATCCACATCGTTTTTGTCGTTGTACTTGCAATCAAGGACCGGGGAATCGGAAAGATGAAGAAGATCAAACTACAGTGGCGGGAAAACAAAAAAATCCTCCGAAGAATGATCAAGACGAGGATGATGATGACCTCTCCCTGATGTTAATTGGCCTGGCCCAATTGACACCCACAGCCAAACTTTTAAATATGACCACACCCACAGCTCCCCTGCCCACACCCACCCAAAACACGCACATCGGTTATGCTGGTGGAGAACCTGGAAATTTTGTACCCACAATTGCCATAGTACCTGCCACTCCCGATTCTGTGCTAACCAAAACCTCCACAAATGTTTGGGATAACAGTTCCAATATGAGCTCCACCCACAGCCCTACGAATACCTCAAATCTCCTGATCAGCAATATACCACGACATCAGGCCATTATCGAAAACATCCCGGAAGATTCATGCGATGAATCTCCCCTGGATGAGGAACCACCCTATAGGCCCATGTCCAACACTCTGAGGCGTTATGGGACCATGTCCAGTTTGGAAAAGTTACCCTCAGAGGATCGGCTGGAAAATGATTACGACGATGATGAGGATGATGACGACGACATCGATGCCGATGATAATGACATGGCCATCGATGATGATGAGGATGATGATGAACTAATGGATAAGGCCCGAGCCGATAACATAGAACTGGATAATGAAATACGTGTGGTAACTAAGGCCATTTATTCCTCGGAAGAGGCAAGTGGTTCCATTTTAAGCTCGGCGAATAACTCTAACACCTCCAATGCCTGGACAAGTCGTGCCTCAACATTTGTCTCGGGGAAAATGTCCTTTTTCGAAGAGTCGCGAGCATTCATTGACAAATATTTGGGTAGATGGAATCAGGAACAGCCAGATAGTGCGGGACCGGCATTGACCTCTGATCCTGAGGAACAAATGGATGAATGCACTTCGGGAGCCACATCGGGCGAAGAGGTGTGGGGTACTCCGACCAGTGGGGGAGATAATGATGATATGCACATGGCCAATTCGGAAAATACACATTCGGTAGGGATTCCCCAAATTATTAAAATATGGACCTAACCTAATATTTTTTTTTTAATTTCCGAACATTTAGTCCCCCACAAAATCCAGTAATTCGCTAAATGATGATGATGACACGGAGCTAATGATGGATGAGCTATTAATGGCACCACCAATGTCTGCCAGCAGTATTAGGGGTCTCTTGCCACGGTAAGTTTATTATTTTTTAGTGAGCGATTTAAAAACAAAGAAAATAGAAAAACACCCACACAAATGCCTTCAAATATTTAAAAAAAAATATAAAAAATTAGTTTTTTTTATAAAAAAATTTAGATCTCTTAAAATTTTTCAAACAAAAGGGGTTTAAAAAAATTTAACTTATAAAAAATAGATTTTTTAGCAATTATGATTTTTTAATTTTAAAAATAAATTTTTAAATAAAAAAAACTTATTTTTGAATTTAAAAAAAATATATTTATTTAAAACATTTTTTTAAGAACTATGAAAAATAAAAAAAGAATTATTAATTTTTTAGTAAAAAATTACAGTTTTATTACAATTTGAAAATTATTGTTTTATTATAAATATTATTTTTTTAGTAATAAATCTTAAAATTGAACCTATAAAAAATTAAAAAAATATATATAAAAACCAGTGAGCGGAGCAGTATAGTCGGACGGGCAGTATAGTCGGACGGGCAGTATAGTCGGACGGACCCTAGACAAATACCACGGAACTCTAACTTTCTGTGGCTCTATATTCTGAGTTTGACAATATTTGATATATGCACCCTCTTGACCGACTGGAGGTCCATAAATATTACTAATATTTAGTACAGCCCTTCTAATTACTTGCCCAGACTCCCTTCTCCGTGGTTTCTGTTGTGATGTTCGGCTTTAAATTGTCGACTCGAAAAAAACATAAACAATTAAGTTTTCGGTCTACTTCATCCCAATATTAGTATCTGATCATCACCGAAAATTATAGGCGTTGCCCTTGACCATAACTCGAACCTCACGGAACATTTCAAGGCGATCTGCGCTATATTTTCGCCCTCCAGTAAGGTAATGGGTTACTAAATAATATCTGAATACGTAAACACCTGTAAATATTTAAGTGTAACTCCCACATCCGAGTACAAACGACAATATAATTGGTATCAATTTAAAGGTCAACCACTCCTCTTGAACATACTATCAACTTTTCGGGTCTATGTCCTTCAGGGTAAACATATGCGCTATAGAATACAAATTTTATAATTTTTCACACAAAAGTCAGGATCAATTTGACCCGCTAAATATTGAAAGATCTTTATCAAAACAGGCATGCTTATTCTTTGGCCCAATCCCCTTCTCCATGTAAAAATTCGCGATGTTTGGACCATAATTGCAGCCTCTGGAGCGACCAGAAAACCCGACAAAAATTAAGTATTTGGTCCATTTCATCCCCTAAATATTAACCGACCATTACCAAAAACAATAGGAGTCTTCATTGGCCAGAGCCCAACCTACATGCAAAATTTCATGAAGATTGGTTCATAACTGAGGCCTGTATCGTGTTTACAAATTATAATGGACAGATGGACGGATGGACACACATGTCTAGATCGACACAGCTAGTCGAGATATGACTAGCTGAGTCGCCTTAAAGGTGGGTCTAGGACCAATATTTCGCGGCGTTGCAAACTCTTGGAACTGCACAAACCTGTAATACCCTGACAACATAGTTGTATAGGGTATAAACATTTATTCAACATTTTTATACCCTTCACCACCCTGTGGTACAGGGTATTATGTCTTTGTGCACATGTTTGTAACAGGCAAAAGGAAACGAGATAGACACATGGTTCCTTTTGAGAATATGCATAGAATCACTTTCTAAGTCAATTTATGCATGTCCGTCCATCCGCCCTTCCGTCTGTCTGTCCATGTTAAATCGTAAACAAGGTACATGTCGCATTTATGATCCGAATTGGATGAAATTTGGCACAGCTCGTTTTTTTGGCCAAAGGACAAACCCTATTGAAATTAGCAAAAATCGGTTCAGATTTAGATATAGTTCCCATATATATGTTCGACCGATTTAATGTAAATGGTGTACCAAAGACCTTATATATCTTTCGATTTGCACGAAATTTGGCACAGCGTATTTAATTGGGCCTAGAATGATGTGTGTTAAGTTTCGTGAAAATCGGTTTAGATTTAGATATAGCTCCCATATATATTTTCCTCCGATTTTTTGTAAATGGCGCCACAAAGTCCCTATATATGTTTCGATTTGGAAGAAATTTGGCATGGCGTATTGAATTTGGTCTAGAATGATGTGTGCAAAGTTTTGTGCAAATCGGTTCAGATATAGATATAGCTCCCATATATATTTTTTTGTCCGATTTAATGTAAATGGTGTACCAATGTCCCTATATTACTTTCGATTTGCACGAAATTTGACATAACGTACTGAATTGAGCCTAGAGTGATGTATGCCAAGTTTCGTGAAAATCGGTCCAGATTTAGATAAAGCTTCAATATATATTATCGTCCGATTTTATGTAACTGGTGCACCATAGTCCCTATATATCTTTCGACTTGCACGAAATTTGGCATAGCGTACTGAATTGAGTCTAGAATGATGTATGTCAAGTTTCGTGATAATCAGTTCAGTTTTAGATATAGCTCCCATATATATTTTCGTCCGATTTTACGTAAATGGTGCACCATTCGATTCGATTTGCCCGAAATTTGGCATAGAGTACTGAATTAGGTCTAGAATGACGTGTGCAGAGTTTGAGATTTATATATATCTAGCAAGTTTCCTTGAAATCGGTTCAGATTTAGATATAGCATAGCCTCCATATATAAATTCGACCTGTTCATGTTGATTGTACACCAAATAATCAATGGAAGCCTGATTGATACATTTTAAACAGTGAAGCATACCAAATAGCGTGTGTAAAGATAGCTTTAAATCTATTTACAAAGTATGGAATGGGTTGCAGAATGGCATGTGTTGGAATTGATGTAATTCGGTTTACTTATAGATAAAGATCGATCGGATATTTAAGTTCGTTCAATTTCATGTCAATGTTCCTTTGAAAAGGCGACTTCTGTTAGGATACATATGTAGAATATCCCCAAAGTGGTGGAGATAGTCGTCCCAGTCCGACTTTACTACTTTTCTTACTGGTTTAAAAATCAAGATATTTTTTAGTAAAAAAAATAATTATTTAATGGAGTTTTTAATATTTTTTAGTATTTATTAATTTTTTATTTAAATACTTTTTTTAAGAAATTAAAAACCATATTTTTTCATTTTTTGATTACTTTGAAACATTTTTAATAATTTCTAAAAATATGTTTCTTCAAAAAATTCAAATATTTTAAATATTCCTATAATTTGAAAATATAACTCCACTTGTTTAAATTTCCCAAGTAGTTAAGGTTCTAGAAAATATGTTAGTTAGTCTATAGTCTATATATAACTTTGTGGTAAAACTTATATAAAAATCGTAAATATATATTTCTCTTGTTCTATTTTTTTTTCTTCTACCAACGCGTTAAACATATATATTTCGCTCTATTTTTATCTTCTGTAGTTTTTACAGGTTAATATTTTTTATTGTTGTAATTCATTCTAAAACTGTTGATAAAATCATGTCATTTCATTCAATATCATCTTAGTTGGATACATATTTTTTTAGAGAAAAAACTGAATATTTTTAGATTAGATAGCTTAGAATAGAATATTTGACTTGATGCAAAATATTTTTTTAAAAAAATTATAGAAATTAAGATCATTTATTTTCGAAATTCGTCAATGAAAGGTTTGACCTAGGTTTAAAAGAATTGAGATATTTTTCATAATTTTTAGTTTTTTTTCAATAAAAATATTTAAAAAAGATTTATTTTCAGCCAAAAAAAAAAAATTGTTAAAAATACAAAAGATTTTGAATTTAGGTTTGGAGTATGAATCGGAAACTGATTTTATTAATATGTATCTCTTAACTCTAAACCTTAAACTATAAATATAAGACTAGACATACATTACACCTACATCGACTAAAAAACATGCGCAACAAATACTCCAATGCATTCTAATGCAGTGACTAGCTAACGCACAATGTGCGGCGATCTTTCCATATATAATTTACCAATATATCTACAATTTTTCTTTCAATTTCATAATTAGAATTATTTTTTATAATAAAATTCACTAACTATTTTCTTTTTAACCCTTTGAGCTCCAAATTTTTTCCACAATGTGGGATTTTAGACTCTTATCTTAAAACACTCCAACGATCAAATCTTCTGTAACATAAAATTCTGTTCAAAGTATTTTGAACATGCTGACGACTGGCAAGAAGGGCTGACAAATTAAATTTCTGTTCAAAGCATTTTGAACATTTATTTTATTTATTTTATTTTTAAATAGATTGATCCCTTGTGGTGTTTTCTTAAATCTACTCATACATTCTTATATAAATCTAAAGCAATGTGATCGGAATTATTCTATCATACATACTAACAAGTATTATCAATACTGGGCATTTATCCATAGGCGACATGTTTAAAAATTAAAAATATAAAATCTTATCGTATAAACTGAAATTAAGAAAAACTAAACTCTACTTGACGGCACCCAAGAATCTTCGCAGCCAATTTTTTTAATAGAGTCTCGATCAGAATTTCCTCCAGCTTCGTCTACAGCTTTCATTATCCAGCCATCGTTTTTCTTAGGAAATTTCTTTCTCCACTCTTCGTTGGCCGGAGGTTTCTTCCCGCGACAATGCACACCTTCGACTAGCTTGAGGCTTTCTTCTTCTGTTTTTCTAAATTTGGAGAAGTGATTAAATACAACACAATGTAAATTACCTTCGGAGATTAGTGAACTGTATTCCTGTTTAAACCCAAGCGTCACTTCTTGCTTGGCATCCACATCCAGGAGAACAACATCACAATTTTCTTCTACGTTGCTTTCTTCATCTTCAGGGTAATCGACTTCTTTTTCCTGTTTCCTAAGATCCGTTCCACTATCTTCCTTTTTGTTAAGCTGGCCCACAAATTCTGCCTCGGTAAACTGCTGGGTTTCTTCTTGCTTCTGCTTTTCGTAGTCATCTATTTCTAACTCATGTTTTTTCTCCAGTGGACTGTCTCCATCAATGCCTTCTGTAACTAAATTCCCTCCGCAGTGAGGGCTTGCCGGGGGCACCAAAATGTCATTGGAAGATTCCAGCTTATTATGCAGCTCCTCCTTTACATCAGAGTATATATCCGCCATACTGTTCAATTCGGAGAACATATCTTCAGAAAATTCCACATTTGAAACTTTTGGAATCAACTTTCTGATCTCCATATATGAAGCCTTCAGATATTCCATCTCCGTTAGGGCTTTCTTTATTGACATTGTAGTCATTTCATTTTTTTATGTCATCGCATCGGCTAATCACATAATCAGCTTTATTATATATTCCTTCTAATGCAAAATCATAAATTCTCATGTTATTGCCGTAGATCGGACAATATAACTCCAAATGTTTTTCTCCAATGGACTGTCTCCATCACTGCCTTCTGTAACTAAATTCCCTCTGCAGTGAGGGCTTGCCGAGGGGACCAAAATGTCGTTGGAAGATTCCAGCTTATTATGCAGCTTCTCCTTTACATCAGAGTATATATCTGCCATACGGTTCAATTCGGAGAACATATCTTCAGAAAATTCCACATTTTAAAATTTTGCAATGAACTTTCTGATCTCCATATATGAAGCCTTCAGATATTCCATCTCCGTTAGGGCTTTCTTTATTGACATTGTAGTCATTTCATTTTTTATGTCATCGCATCGGCTAATCACATAACCAGCTTCATTGTATATTTCCTCTAATGCGAAATCATAAATTCTCATGTTCTTGGTGTAAATCGGACAATAGAACTCCAAATAATTCCTCTTGATTTCATCAACTTCCATTACAATGGTTTCACATTTTTGGGTCACCTGCTCTAGAGCTGCAGTTGTATTTTCATTCTTGATTTCGGATTCAAGTTGCTTCAGTTCAGCCAACTTCTCTTTAATAACTTTAACCCATTCCTTTAGTATACCTTCTGGCCGGAAGGGTATTCTTTCCTTTAAATATGCACATGTGGCGTTTAACTCCTGTGCTTCTCGATTTAACCGCCTGTACATCGTTCTCGTTCTCTACTTCTCATCAACTCTTTTTTCCCAAGACTCTATGAAAAAATCTAACTCCATTTTATTTTTTAATAAAAACTGTTCACTTCGTAGAACAGAAAATCACAATACTTGAGCTCCTCATTTCAAAGCAAATCGCTGATTCAACTGAGTCTCTTACCTCGAAGGACCAAAAATATTAAAAATATACTGACAGCCGCTGCTCATCTGTATAACAAATTAAGACACGACACGGTGACCCCGATTGTTCTAGTTGAGTGTTTGTGAGGCACTAATTTTATTTTAAAAATATTTATCCTTAGGTTCTACTTAAACAACACTTGCTTAGCCTAATCTCAAACACAAAATACTTATCAATAAACTATTTGTTCTAATAATAGAATTTGCTCTGGGAGAGTTTTCCCATCGTGTGCGTCATAAAATCTCAACGCCTTATCGGCGTTGCATGTGGAATTTTAGACTCTTATCCTAAAACACTCCAACGATCAAATCTTCTGTAACATAAAATTCTGTTCAAAGTATTTTGAACAAATAAGATCAAATATCAAGAAAACCAAATGCAAAATCGACAGAAAAATAATTTTAAATTATTCTCTATATTTATTTTTACTAGAATCAAAAATAATGCTGATGGCAGAATTCGTACAATTTGAAGGGTTAAATAAATGGCTATGAATAATTTTTCTATAAAAAAATCCATATTTGTGTATGGGTCTCTCAGTGTATCAAGTCAAACATTTAGGTTTTTTTCAATCTTCAATAAAAACAAAGCTTTTAGATTAGATTAGATAGACAATTTTTTCACACTCATTTATTGTATAGAAAAAATATATATAGTATAAAATTATTTTTCAAAATATATCTAAAAAGTAGTTTAATTCAAATTTCTTTACCATCAAAAATTTCTTTTAATTTATTTTTTTATGTAAAATTTCATCGACTTTTGTTGAAATCATCGGACCACAATTTATCGATATCATCAACATCATCGCCATCTTCATATCATCCACAACAACACAAAATTTTCTAATATTGAAAAAACAAATTAAAAAAATATTTAAAACCACCCACACACACACCCCACCAATAGACGTCGCCTAGAACCATTGTTCGAGGAGGAAACGGAAAGTGATGAAGAGAAAACGCAACAGGAAAGTGAAGAATTGAAAAAGGTGGGTCACCATTACAAAAATTGCATGTCAACAACAAGCAACAATAACAACAACAAAAAATGAAAATAAAACTGCAACAAAAGCAAGAAATTTTCTAGAAACTTTTTTTTTTAAATTTATTTTAATTATTTTGGGATTTTTTTAAATCAAGGCAATCATCATGCTAATCATAAAAATTTAATTTTATTTTCAAAGCACAGAGAGGTTAATTGGGAACATTTTTTCTCTTCAATCTTATTTGCACTCATCACAATTAATTTTTTTATACTTCTTCTCATAATATATTTTTTCTCTTATTGTTCTTTTTCATTATTTTTATTCTTTCATGCCAAAATGTCATTCAACCATTTCATCATCGCCATGTCATCCACAACAATAAAACGAACACAATTTTTGAAAAATAAAATTATTTTTTGAAAAATAACATTTTTTTCTCATACGCTGCCATCTATGTGTTTGTAATTGTACCATTTTCTTTAATTGTGTGCGTGTAAACTATTTCTTACTTTGCTTGTTCTATGTGTTACTGTATGTCGTTCCGTTCATTCGTGTCTCACTCACCCACCCATAAATCAATAGAAAGTTGTAGTTAAATTAGTGAAACTCTAGCAAAACGTTCAATACTGCAAAGTTGTACACATTAAAGGCAACTGATGCAGCGCCATCTATGTTTGGCACTATGAATTACAAACAAACCATAAAATTCAAATACACACACAAAAAAACTATACCCGGACAGAAGTAGTGTTGCCAATTGGGATTGTTTTTTACATACAAAAATAATATTCAACCAACCAAAACAAATTTATCTCAAGGCCCTGGATCCTCAGGATCGGAGAATCCACTCACCAATCTTCCAGACACTTGGTCCAGTACTCAGAGCTCATAAGGAAAAAATATAGAATCCAGGGATCCCAACTATGCAAACACTTATCAAATAAATGTTCATTACCTCAAAAATATGTAAATAGGAATCATCAGACCTCAGGATACGAAAATCTACCTAACTACCTATGGGAACAATTTTCTCCCAAAAATTAATTGTCTTCACTTAACAAGGAATATTCCGCATCAAATAGAATTATTTTTGGGTCTTGCAAAGGTTTGTTACAAAGCCACAGCCCTGTCCCCCTGACACCTTAAAAAATATATCAACAGGAATCATCAGATCTCAGGTTCTTAAAATCCACCCAGCCATCCTAGGAACCAAACTTTTTCCAAAAATAAGTCATCTTCTGCTACCCAGGAATATTCCACGTTAAACTCAACCCTTTTCCGGGCTCTGCAAAGCTTTACTTCCACGCAACAGCACTTCTCCCTGACTCCTCAGAAATATTTCATCAGGAATCATCAGACCTGAGGTTCTTAAAATGCACCATGCCATCCATGGGACCAAATTCCCCCCCCCCCCCCCCCCAAAAATAAGTTATCTTCAGTTACCCAGGAATATTCTACATTATATGCAAACCTTTTCCGGGCCCTGCAAAACTTTACTTCTACGCAACAGCACGTCTCCCTTACTCCTCAGAAATATTTCAACAGGAATCATCAGACCTCAGGTTCCTCCAATCCACCCAGCCATCCATGGGACCATTTTTTCCCAATAAATAAATTATTTTCAGTTATCCAGGAATATTCCACGTTAAATAAAACACTTTTCCGGGTCCTGTAAAGCTTTACTTCCACGCAACCGCACTTGTCCCTGACTCCTCAGAAATATTTCAACAGGAATCATCAGACCTCAGGTTCTTAAAATCCTCCCAGCCATCCATGGGACCAATTCCCCCTATAAATAAATTATTTATATATTTCAAAAAATATGTACAACGGAATCATCAAACATCACGATCTTATAATTCACCCATCAAACCATGGGACCAATTTTTTCCGTCAGAAATATTATTTTCAGTTACCCAAGAATAATCCGCGTCAAATGGAACCTTTTTCCCGATCCTATAATGGGTTATTTTCAAAACACATAACTTCTCCCTGAAGACGCAGAAGAACGTTAAGAGGAATCATCAGGCCGCAGGAGCTGAAAATCCATCTAACTACCTATTGGACCAATTTTTCTCTCAAAAATGAGATGTCTTTAGTTAACTAGGAATATTCCTCGTCAAATGTAAAAAATTTTCCGATCCAGCAAACGTTTTTTTTCTCGAAACAGCTCTTCACCCTGACTCCTCACACTCCTCAATTTAAACAGGAAGTATTAGACCTCCGTATCAAAAAATCCACCCATCCCAGCATAAGACCAATTTTCCCCCTCAAAAAATAATTTTCCTCGTTCAATGAAACTATTTCCGGGCCCTGTAAAGGTTTGTTTTCAAGCCAGAGCCCGTTCATCAAACACCTCAAAAATTGTTTATACAGGAATCATCAGGTCTCAGAGGTTGAAAATCCATCTAACTATCTATGGGACCAATTTTTCTCCGTAAAAAATATTTTCTTCAGAATATTCCATGTTAAATGGAACCATTTTCCGGGTCCTGCAAAGATTTGATTCCAAACCACAGTATTTCTCCCTGATGCCTGAAAACATATTTCAAAAGAAAGCATTACGCTTCAGGATATGAAAATGCATCCAGCCATACACGTAACCAATTGTTCCCCAAATTTTTCGGTTACCAAGGAATATTCCTCGTTAAATATAGCCCGGTCTTGGATCCCACAAAATTCTCTTTCCATGTCACCGTCCTTTTCCCTGACGCCGCAAAAATTTGTTTAAACAGGAATCATCAGACCTCAAGATCCGAAAATCCATCCAACTACCTACGGGATCAAGTTTTTCCCCAAAAAGTATTTTCTTCAGTTACCCAGGAATACTCCACGTTAAATGGTATCGTTTTTTGGGTTTGATTTCAAGCCACAGCCCATCATTCTGACACCAGGGAAATCAAAACATCACATCTTCATGGCATTACTACCCAACAAAATGTATTCTATTCTCACCCTAACGGCAACACTGCTCCCAAAACAAAATTAAACTACACCACGCTTCTGCAACCCAGGTCCTCAACAGCCCGCCTGGGACCGATCACCCACCCGCCTAAACGATTCTATAAAAAGTCGCTTGCTTTAAACCAGAATTGATTAGTTGAATTCTATTTCAAAAAAATTGGTAGGGGGAAACAACGACAAATGGCCACTATTTAGAGGATTCGGAAGCTGGAAGTTCCAGCGAGGAGGAGGAAGCGGAGGACGAGGGGGAGGAGGAGGAGATGGAGGATCATGTGAATACAGCGGATTACGAGGAGGAGGACGAGGATTTGACCTCAACGGAGGAACGGCTACAGCCACAGCTGCAAACCACAATTTTGGGTCCTCGACCCTTGACTACAACACCAGTTGGTCAAGTAAACGTTTTACCTCCAGCAGTACTGAAGGCCTCATCTTGCGAGTACCTCTTGGATCGGCCTATGATCAGCAACGAGGCTACAACAATAATGGCTACGACGATGGCTACAACAGCCGACAGCGTTACAGCAGCAGTCGAAGTCGCAACCTGCTCGACGAAGATGATGACGACGTCGACGACTACAGTAACGATGATGACAGCAACAACAACAGCCACCGCAGCCATGACAACGCCGGCAATGGAGACCTCTACTACGATGGCCTCAACAACACGGACAACACCGAATCGGGTAGCCTCGTCGGCATCTACAACAATCAGCAGCGCGAACGTCACTACCGCGAGCGAGAAAGACGTCAAAACAACAATGCCGGCGGAGCCGAAGAACGAAGTGAAAATTGTGCCACGACCAGCGAAATTTATACCACCTCCACCGCCGCCACGTCGTCTCTTATTGACTCAAACAAATCTCAAGACAAGTGGAGCGGATACAAAAATAGCGGCAGCAAAAGTGGTGAGTTCTTTTTGAAGATGAATAAAAATTATTTTTAAAATTCCTGGCCTATGGAAGGTCCTTGAAAAAATATTTTTAAAAATCTTGACATATAGAAGGTCCTACAAAATTTTTTTTTTTTATAAAATCTTGCTCTCTCCTCATTCCTCTCTCATTTTTCTTACCCTTAGCTCCAACCTCAACGAAAATCTGGCGCTTTTGCTGACACTGGCTCTTCCGTGGGTGCCAAAGAAGGCGCGGCTTACGACGCCAGCCCTGCTATACCCACGGCAAATATAGTCGGACCGCAACACACGAAGATCACGACAACGACAACCACCACGAACACGACGTCGATGAATATGACGACAGCGACACCGAAAACTACCAACGTAGAGGATGTTATCAGAAATTATTCCGCAAAACCCACAAACAGGAGCATGTGCGACTCAATGAAACCCCCAACCGGGCCACCACAGCCACAACAGCCTCTGGAACCGCAACAACGACTATCATCAACAATAATCGAGACCTCACTGCTCAGTCTAATGGACAACAGCAGCAGCTGCAAAACCAATCGACCACACTGCACATCATCAACAACAGCTTCGAAGATGAAGGGGAAATGTCCCATGAAACCCGAACGCAAACAGGTGGCAACGACACAAACCCCGACATCACGAGATTTGGATCAGCAACTGCAAATGGAGATGCAGCGACGACCACAGGACGAACCCGAAAACGATTCCACATCGACTTGTGCACAGCCCGCAGTAGTTGGCTCGGCCTTAAGTCCTCGCCTAGAGATGCGTTTGGCCCTCAATCAGGATATAATGGGCGACGAAGATTTGATAAGTTACGATCCTGGGCCAGATCTAACAACTATTCTGGTGTAAGTGATTTGCAAAAGGGAAGGGTTGGAAGGGTTCTTTTAATTTTTTTATTTATTTTTTGGTCTTCCCAGGCACGACCTCTCAACATTTCATCGTCTGACGGGCAGAGATTTATTGAATCGCTCGGCCATGAATCGGGTTCAACCAAAAGAGGCTGTCATATCGTACTCTCAACAGCGAAACTCGAAGATGGATACGCCCACAGTGAATCGCAGGCCACGACCTCATCTCAACAGCAGCACCAACAACGGTCATGCGGCCACCAACACCACCACCTGCACCGGCATAACGGCGCCCAGTCCGACAACGACAGCGGCCGTCTCGTCAATGCCCTTCGCTGGTTCGGTACGTGTCGGCGACGTTCAACAACACCTGCAGCCAAATCGAAATACATGGAGCAGTTTTGCATTTGCGGATCGAAATCGAGACGTGAACGCCAGCGACGCAAACAGCAAAGACGACAGCAAGCTAAGCGATCTCGAAATCTTAGCGAGACGCGAGAAGATATACTGCATGTCTCAATTGAGGAGTGGCTCACGAGTCAAGACGATGACGACGACGATGATGACGTCAACGAAAATCATGGCCTCCACAACAACAACAACAGCGACCGCCAGCAATTCATTGAACAATCCTCTGATGAGGACGACGAGTACTACTTCGATGGCCGGTGTGAGTGAAGAGGCGGGCAGTAGCTCGAAGAAGAGCCAGAGTCGACAACGTAAAATAAGTCGTGATGAGACCGCTCTAATGGAAACGGGCAAGGCAAATAAATTGTGAGTGAGAAAAAAATTGAGAAGGGTCACAAAAATAAATGCTAATTTGAAAAAAAAAATCTCTTGCAGAATAAATTTTATTAAACGTCGCAATTCTGAAATACCCCCGAGCGCCAATAACTCACAAACCTCGCTTAATGATTCCAATTCTAGTAGCACGCCTCAGCACGCCAAGCAGGCACCGATGTCGCCACGCAAGGATAATGTAAGTAAGCAATAACCAAAAAATGTGGCGCCCAACGTGGGGCAACAATTTGCAAAACATCGACCACCGGTCTGGATTATTTTAAAAATAGATTTTAAAGGCCTGCCATAAGGGCTGGATTTTTTAAAAATAGATTTTAAAGGACTGACATAAGGCCTGCCATGGATTTAAAAAAAAAATATTTTTAATGCTTACCTTAAGGCTTGAATATTTTAAAATAGTTTTTAAAGTCTACCTCAAGGAGAAGAGTTTAAAAAATATTTTTCTAAAGTCTACCTCAAGGAGAAGAGTTTTAAAAACATTTTTCTAAAGTCCACATTAAAGCATCGATTTTTTCTTATTATTTTTAAATGGTGCCCAACGTAAAATAAACTAATTTCCTCTTTATTTTCCATTATTTCCAGGACAAACCGTCATTGAATCGCCGCCTTTGGAAACAAATTACAAAACGACGACGTTCTAATTCGGTTTCCGAACTAGTGGCATCTTAAAGTCACTGTATCCCCGGCACAGCACCTTTGACATTTTGGTTCTGCAGCTTTAGCAGCAAAAGCAAATAAAACAGCAAACTTTTGTGATGTTCAAATCCCGGCCAATATTTTATTTCGATTTATTCGTATTCCAAAAAGCATAGTTCAACTAAAAAATGTGGTAGAGATGTAGCAAAAAAGGTAATTTTCGTATTTTTTGTCGAATGTAAAACGAACTGATTTACTATTAGATTAAGGCTTTGAATGTAAAGACGAAGAAAAACAAATCCAAAAAAATAAGAGATACACCAATTTTTGTCCTTTTTATGATAGTCAAAAATGAGAAGAAGAAGCAGAATAAATAAATATTAATTGTCAATTATGTTGCTTTACAGAGAGGAGGAAGAGAATTTTCCTGCCGAAGAAAAAATTAATAATAAATTAAGAGCTTCAAAGCTTAGATCTCACATAGATATAAAAGAAACAAAAACATGGGACCCAGTATTTTGAGAAAATCAAGTGCATTGTTATCTGGCAGATCTTCAAGCCTCTACATATTTGTCTTCAACTCTAGATAGACTTGACTTTCAAGTTCTTGAAAAAAAAAATATTTAACTAAAAGATTTTTTCCATTAGGAATGGTATGCAATGCTTCGCTGATGATCCAACCTCTTGCAGATGTTCTAACTACCACTTGCAGATGTTCTAACTACCGCTGGAAAATCCAAAAATTTCACTAGTTGTTACATTCCCCTCTAGAACCCACAGAAATTCCTTTGAAATGTAGTAGACCCCTTGTAAAGATCTCCAAAAACCTCAGAGGATATCTAAATCGGCACAAGACGATGAATTACTTTCTGAAGCAAACTAAGTTTCCCAATCTATCCTCAGACCTCAGACTGCATCTCCAATGACTTGAGGTACCTAAAATAAGTATTTTTTTAATTAAAGATGTTCCAACTAGTGCTGGAAAATCTAATAACTTCACTACTCAGTTCGTTCCCATCCAGAACTCTCAAGAATGTCACTCAAATTATTTATACCATTTTCAAAGATCTCTAAAAAGCTCGATGGGTAACTAAATCGTATACACTGCGGGGCAGGCCGTTTTCACCATCAAAATGGAGTTCCATCATAAAAAATGATGCTTCTGGAAGAACTGAAGACTGCACAAGATGGCGAAGTACATTTTGAAGCAATAAAATTCCCCAATCTTTCCTCAGACCAAATTTACATCACATTTGAGGTACCTAAAATCAGGTTTTTCCAATAAGGGATGCTCCAACGATCGCTGGATGTTCCAACGACCATCAATACTCAGTGCAATCCTCTCTAGGAACCTCAGAAATTCTTTTGTATTGTAATAGGCCTCTTGCAAAGTTATCCGAAAAGGTTGGTGGATCACTAATTCGCGTCATTGTGTGGCAGAGCATTTTCGCTATCAAAATGGAGCTTTATAACACGAACCATATGCTTCTGGAAGAACTGAAGACAGCACCCAATCTTTCCTCAGACACCATACATCCCCAATGACTTTATTAAATCACATTTGAGATATTAAATATTAGGGTTTTCCAATTGAGAATGATCCAACTACCTTTGTAATGGATTTAGACATGGCAGCTAACCGCATTGACCTCTAGAGCTGAAGACAGCACCCAATCTTTCCTCAGACACCATGCATCCCCAATGACTTTATTAAATCACATTGAGCGAATTGCAATAAAGCAGCAGACTTCGCTGGCTGCAGTCGATGTAGACGGGACCTTAGCAACCGGCTTCGCCGCCGCAGATGTTGAGGAACCGTCCGTCCCTTCCACCTCCATCGACGAGTCCAGGTCACAAGCCGCCCTCAGATTCGCCGCTTCTAACTGCGCCATTAAGCGCGCGTTGCTTTCCGCCAGTGACGCCACCTTGTCCTCGAGCAAGTCGATCGTCCCATTTAGGTTTTTTACCATGTTGACTAACCTGAAGATCTGGAAGTTGTTGGCCTCCTCACATCCGCAGGTAACGTTCCTCCTCTTGCGGTTCTCGTTCAACCGCTCGCTGCTGCTTGCGTAGCTATCGTCGTCTGATGAGCTACACGACGACTCCTCCTCTTGTGTGCGCCTCCAAGGTAACTGGCCTTCCATGACAGGGTTTCAACTTCACTTTTTTATTCACTTAAGCACTTTTCCGATGTAGGTATATTCACGTTGACGGTCAGAACACAACTAATTTCCAATCAAAAGGAATTTCCATACTTCTACCTTATACCTTTTATATTTTCAAGTGAATGGAAATTATGGTATCCATAAACATTTTAAACACCGCATTGATTCTGTTTTGGATAAACTTAGCTTAGCCCAAATCCACTTACTGGATGTGATCGAAAATGGGATTCCATACAATTCTCTAAAACATTATTCTGGTTCGATATTTGGATAAAATTATCTTAGCTCTAAACCTCTAACTGTATGTGATCGAAAATGCAATGCCATTTAGCTTTGAAAACCTAACCATGAAAAATAAACGGATAATGGATTTGAAAATTGAAATGTATAGTTTTTTTATTTCAAGGCTAATTTTTCGGAACGGCAAAAATAATCTGTAACAAAAATTCTATTAGAAAAAAATACATAAATTTTGAAACCAGAAACTCCAAAAGTATTTTGCCATTACAGAAATTTGAACATATTTATATGATATGTCATCAGATCCCCTTTTAGGTAGCAAAACTCTAAAGAAACTGCATCTATGAATTCAGAGATATTCAATGCCTAAGAAGTTCGATCAAATCGCATCATATCTTTGGCAACATAAATCTAAATCCATCGCAATAATTTGAGCTCATACCAATTTTATTTCCAAGTGAATGAGAATTCTTTTGACATAGATTACTGAAATACCACTTTGGTGCTGTGTTTGGATATACTTCGCTTATCTCCAAACCCTTTTATTGCATGTGATCGAAAATGTGATGCGTTATATATCGTTCTGCGCTACTCTGACGCCATCTAGCTTTGAAAATCGATCATTGGAAATTATCAGATTTGGGTTATGACCTTATATAAGGGACTGTACAGATTTCTCTTGAACATTTGTGCGGTCCTATTAAAGCTACTCGAACTTCTTTTGGAAGCGATGAAGTCATCACTACAGAAATCGAATCATATCTGTGGCTATCTAAAGCAATCTCAATAATTTTAACTTATATAATTTTTCTTTTCAAGTGAATAAGAATTCTTATGACATCGATCACTGAAATACCACTTTGGTTCTGTGTTTGGATAGACTTAGCTTAGCCCCAACCTGGTTTATTGCATGTTATCGAAAATGCGATTCCTAAAAATCGTTCTACGCTACTCTGACGACATCTATCTTTGAAAATCGATCATTGGAAATTATCAGATTTGGATTATGACCTTATATAAGAGACTGTACAGTTTTTCCTATATATATATATTTTTCTGAACGCCAAAAAAATCTGTAAAGGAACTATTTACTATAGGAAAGAAAAAAATTGAAAGCTAAACAGAAAAAAACTAACTTATTTTCTATCTAAAGCAATCTCAATAATTTTAACTTATATCATTTTTGTTTTCAAATGAATGAGAATTCACTTACCATCGATCACTGAAATACCATTTTGGTTCTGTGTTTGGATAGACTTAGCTTAGCTTCAAACCCCTTTTTTGTATGTTATCGAAAATGCGATGCATTATACATCGTTCTGCGCTACTCTAACGCCATCTAGCTTTGGAAATGATCAGATTTGGGTTAAGGTCATATAAGGGACTGTACAGATTTCTCTTGAACATTTGTACGGTCCTATTAAATCTACTCGAAGAGATGAAGTCATCACTACACAAATCGAATCACATCTGTGGCTATCTAAAGCAATCTCAATAATTTTACGATGCATTATAAATCGTTCTACGCTACTCTGAGGCCATCTAGCTTTGGAAATTATCAGATTTGGGTTAAGGTCATATATTTTTATTTTCAAGTGAATGAGAATTCTTATGGCATCGATCACTGAAATACCAATTTGGTTCTGTGTTTGGATAGACTTAGCTCAGCCCCAACCCGGTTTATTGCATGTTATCGAAAATGCGATGCATTATAAATCGTTCTACGTTACTCTGTTGCCATCTAGCTTTGAAAATCGATCAACGGAAATTATCAGGTTATGTTTATGAATGTACAGGGACTGTACAGATTTTCCTATATGAAAAATATTTTTCTGAACGCCAATAAAATCTGTAAAGGAACTATTTACTATACGAAAGAAAAGAATTGAAAGCTAAACAGAAAAAAAACTAACTTATTTTCTAATTGCACCTAAAATAGACTTGAAAATTTCCTGCCATACTTATTTTGTTTTAGTCAAAGAAAATTGCAATACTTTAATGAAGACCACTAAAAATTGGAATAGAATTTGTTGTAAAATATAAATTCTGAAATGAAAAATAAACTTTTTTTGTAGCATAAGGAAAATAAAAATAAATATAAATTTATTAATTAAAAAAATATAATAAAAATAAATTTACATCTAGAAATATTTTAATATGCCTTAGAAATTTTAAAAAATCCAAAAGAAAATCATTTGAAGAAAAAATAATATATTAAATAATTATTTTTTAAAAATAAAAAACAAAATATTTTATTAAAAAAATCAAAGAATCGCACCATTCTTATTTAAATTTTAAGAAAAAAAAAATTATAAAAATGCTAAAGAAATCTAGGCAGTCATTAAAATTGTAAAAAATAAATAAACAACAATGGACTGTTTGTAAAGTCAATATTAAATTAAATTTGAAAATATAACAAGAATTATGAGATACAATTTTTCTTCAAAAATAAATCATAAAATTAATTAATTGAATTAAAAAACAATAAATTAAGGGGAACTATATTAGTAATAAGGAAAAATATTATTGAAATTTTCTTCTAAAAAATGTCCAAAATAAAATTAAATTTATTTATACAAAGATTAAAAAATAATTTAAATAATACATTTTAAAAATAAATAAACAATG